GTCGAGGCTGCGGTGGCCGGGAGCGGCCACTGCACTCCAGTCTGGGTGACAGAGTGAGACTCCAACTCAAAAAAAAAAAAGGAAAAATGTTCCATGTTCATGGGCCAGAAAATATAACATGGCAGTACTCCCCAGATCTACAGATTAAACATCAGCCCTATGAAAATTCCAGCTGTTGCTTTATAGAAATTGACATGCTGATTCTAATCTGGAGTTCATATGGAATGGCAAGGGACCCAAAATAGCCAAAACAATCTTGAAAATGAATATAGTAGAAGGACTCGCACATCCTGATTTCAAAACTTACCCCAAAGCAACAGTAACCAAGACTGTGGGATTGGTACAAGAGTAGACATAGAGATCAATGGAATAAAACAGAGAAGACAGAAATAAGTCTATGTACCTGTGGTCAACTGATTTTGGCAAGGATGCCAAGGCCATTCAATGGGGGGGAAGAATAGTCTCTTTCACAAATGGTGCTGGGCAACTCGATGTTCACATGCAGAAGAATGAAGTTGGACCCTTATCTTGTATCATATATAAAAATTAGCTTAAAGTGGACCAAATACCCAAATATAAGAGCTAATAATATAAAACCCTTACAAGAAAATTTAGGGACAAGTCTTTATCACCTTGAATTTGGCAAAGGATTCTTTTTTTGTGTAAGCAGCAAAAGAAAAAAACAGATAAACTGGACTTCAAAAATTTAAACTTTGTGTTTTAAAGGGCACCGTGAGAAAGGTGAAAAGACAGCCCACAGAATGGGAGAAAATATTTGCAGATCAGCTATCTGATAGGAGACATATCAGAATTTAAAAAGAACTCTTACCACTCAGTAGGGAAAAGACTGCCCAATTTAAAAATGGGCAAAGGTTCTGAATAGACATTTCTCCAGGGATGATATTCACATGGTCAACAAGCACACGAAAAGATGCTCAGCATCATTAGTCCTCAGGGAAATGCAAATCAAAACACAATGAGATGCTAATTCACACCCACTGGGATATTTTAATCAGTGTTGGTGAGGATGTGGAGAAACTGGAATCCTTGCACACTGCTGGTGGGAATGTGAAATGGTACAGCTGCTGTGGAAAATACGTGGGGACCCACAAAAACCTGGAGTTTACTTATAAAAAATGATACATTTATTCTTACATGTTTAAACTTCAGGAGCTTCAAATACTCTCTGTTTGATGCAGTACACCTATCGAGATGCTTATTCCACTGCTCAAAGCGGTTCTTGAACTTGTCAATTTTGATGCCTTTTAGTGCTTCCGCCATTTTTTGTTTCACCTCTTCCACATCAGCAACGTTTCCCTTTGAGGACTTTTTTCATCTGGGGAGACAACAACAACAAAAGTCACTGCAGCAAGATCAGGTGAACAGGGAGGGTGAGGGCAGAGGGGTCATGTCATTTTTGCTCAAAAACTGCTGAACACTCAGCATGGTGTGGACAGGTGCATTGTCATGGTGGAGGAACCAGTCACCTGTTTGCCACAACTTGGGATGTTTCTTACACAAATCATCTCTCATAACAACACTAACTGGGATACCAAGGCTGATGGTTTCCTAGAACACTTACCTAGAAGGGGAAACCTATACTATAAGAGGCCCACCCTCCAAAAAGAAAATTCAGGGTTTTTTTGGGCCCCCAATTGGCAGTTTCTCAAATGATTCAACAGAGTCAACACTTGACCCAGCAATTCCACTACTAGGTATATACCCAAGAGAAATGGAAACACATGCCAGGTGTGGTGGTGCATGTCTGTGGTTCCAGCTACTTGGAAGGCTGAGGCGGAAGGATCGCCTGAGCCCAGCAGGTCAAGGCTGCAGTGGCCGTGAGCGTGCCACTGCACTCCAGCCTGGGCAACAAGAGTGAGACTCCGACTCAAGAAAAAAGAAAACACATACCTACACCAAAACTTGTACATGAATGTTTATAATAGCTGTATTCATAATAGCGAAAGGTAGAAAAAATCTAAATCTCCAGTGATGGACAAATGGAGAGACAAAGTGTGGTATGTCCATACAATGGAATATTATTTACCATGAAAATGAATAAAGTCCAGTACGGATGAACCTTGAAAATGGGCAAGTGAAAGAAGCCAGTCACAGAAGACCACATACAATATGGTCCCATTCATAGAAAATGTCCAGAACAGGGAAGTCTATAGAGACAAAACAGATTAGTGGTTGTTTAGGGCTGAGGGTGGGGTGGAGGGAGAGAGGTTGGTATCTAAAGGGTACAGAGTTTCTTTTTGTAGTGGTAAAAATGTTACAAAGTTGGCTGTGAAGGTGGAGGCACACTATGAATATACTAAAACCTACTGACTTTATAAGTGAGCGAATTGTAAGGAATGGGAACTATATTTCAATGAAGCTATTTAAAAGCAAGAAGAGAAATGGCCAAGCCTTTCCAGAGTGGCCATACCATCTTACCTTCCCACCATGCAGTTTCTCTACAGCTTCACCAGCTTCTGGCATTAGCGCTATTTTTTATTTTAGCCATTGTGATTGGTGTGCGGTCATATCTCATGGTGGCCTTAATTTGCATTTGCTTATTAGCTAATGATGCTGAGTATCTTTTTGTGTGCTTATTTGCCATCTGAGGATTCTCATTGGTGAAGTGTTTCTACATGTCTTGTTGATTTTCGAATTGGATTTTAAAAAACTGTTTAATTAAATTTTTTCCCTCTAGTATAGCTGGATGTGAGTTTTTTTGTCAGATGTGGTTTGTGAATATTTTTTCCCACTCTGTAGCTTATCTTTTCATCCTCTTAGCAGTGTCTTTTGCAGGGTAAGAGTTTTAATTTTGATGAAACCCAGTTTGTTGCTTTTTTTCTTTTCTTTTTCTTTTTTTTTTTGAGTTGGAGTGTCACTCGGTCACCCAGACTGGAGTGCAGTGGTCGCTCCCAGCCACCGCAGCCTCGACCTGCTGGGCTCCGACGATCCTTCTGCCTCAGCCTTCCAAGTAGCCGGAATTACAGGCACGCGCTAGCACGCCCAGCTGATTTTTTGATTTATTGTAGAGATGAGGTCTCGCTGCCCAGGCGGGTCTCGAACCCGCGGGCTCAGGCAATCCACTCACCTCAGCCTCCCAAAGGTGCGGAATTACAGGCTGAGCCACCGAGCCCGGCTTGCTTTTTTTCTTTTATGCTCGTGCCTTTGGTGTGAAGAACTTTTCACCAAGGTCTCCAAGATTTCCTTCTGTATTGTTCTATGTCAATTGATATGATCGTGAGACTTTTCTTCTTTAGCCTGTTAATGTAGTGGGTCACACTGATTTTTTTTTTTTTTTTTGAACGTCAAACCATCCTTGCATTCATGCTTGCCTGTGGTGTATAATTCTTTTTGCGTATTACTGAATCTGCTGACATTTTGCTTAGGTCCTCGGTAGTCTGTGCTTTCATTTCCTATTAAGGGCCTGCTTGGAGAACTCACTGCTTTAGGGAGTTGTGGCAAGAGAGAGCAGGAAGAATGATTTGACACTCTGGCAGCCAGGCCTTGAGGGGAGGGCCAAAGAAGTTGGCTCCGGTCAGAGGCCAGAAGGTTGAAAGAAAGAGCAACAGGCTGCTTGGGTGGTGGTTTTTTCCTAAAGCACATCGTGTCCCTCCCTCCTCAGTCCTCACATTGCCCTGACAGGTGGTCCCCACCTAGTGTCAGGGTGAGGATGAGGCCCAGGCATGCCTACAATGTGAGTCTTGGTGGTCTCAGAGTGACCAGGTTGGAGATACAGTCAGAGGCTCTTCTCGTGGCCAGGGGCGGGATGTGCCTTCTGCTGGACCGTACACCTTTCTGTGTGTCCCTGTTGTGGCAGATGTTAGTGACATTGATCGCTTCCTCAGCGTGTTTCATGAGCCACATGCGGGTGTCATCCGGGCCGCCCAGCAGCTGCTGTCAGATGAGCAGGCCCCGCTGAGGCAGAAGCTGCTGGCCGATGTCCTACACAATGTTAGCCAGAACATCGCGGCCGAGGCCCGTACCGAGGATCCTCCATGGTTTGAAGGTGCGTGGGATGGAAGTTCTGGGGAAACCAGGGTTGGCAGGGGGGTGCTTCCTTAGTGCCTGAGGTGCCAGGAGAAGCTGGTTCTATTTTGGGTCCCAGAGTCTCCCAGTAAGGGTTGACAGGGCCTCTCGAGGACTTGGAAGCCCCGACCCCATGGGAAGGTGCCTGGCAGTACTCGTGGAGCACAGGGTAGCCCTCAGGTGGGCCTATTAATTTTTATAACAGTCACACTGTTGTACAGCCATCACCACCACCTTCTCCAGGACCTCCTCATCTTTCTGACCCTCTGTCCCCATCAGACACTCACTCCCCATTTCCCTCCCCTATTCCTTGGCACCCAGCACCCACTCTCGGTCTCTATCACTTGAGGATTCTGGGGACCTTGCATGGGTGGGATCCTGTGGCATTCGTCCTTCTGTGACTGGCTTCTTTCACTGTGCGCAACATCCTCAGGGTTCCTCCATGTTGTGCTGTGTCAGTTTCTTTACTGTTTTAAGCCTCGTCATGCTCTGTTGGATGTGCGTACCACAGCCATGTGTCTGTCCATTTCTTGACGCTTGGTTGCTGGCTACCCTGGGAGACCTCAGCCCTCTTGGGAAGGGAGGGCTTGAGAGGCTAGCCAAGCAGAAGCCCCTCGGTGGTATTTAAATGCTTCCAAACCAAATAAGAGCCCCGCAGAGATGCTGTGCATGTCACTATCCGGATGTTTCCCAAGATGGAGCAGTCGGACCCTCCTGTCCCACTGTTCCCAAGTGGGCGGGGTGCACAGGTCTCCTCTCTCCTTGTAGGTGTGGAGGCTCGGTTTAGGAGCAAGTCCAGCTACCTGAGATACAGTTGCGAAAGCCGGATCCGGAGTTACCTGCGGGAGGTAGGCCTGGGTAGAAGCCAGGTATGCTGGGCGAGTCAGGGCCGCCGTCTCCCCTGGGGTTTTCTGTGGCTCTTCAAGGTCTTGGGACTGCCCTGTCCCCTGAATTTCCTCACTCAGGTCGCTGCAGTTGCACTAATGGGCCCTGACACCACCGTCCAGGTACTAGGGTACAGGCCCTCCTGATCTCCACTGCTTGCCCAGACAGCTGGCGCCTTCTGATGACATCTTGTCAGATTCTCATACCCCTTCCCATGGTCCCGAGCCCCTGTGGTTCTGAGCTGCTGTGTTCGTGGGCTCAGCTTAGTTTCCTAGGGTGGGCAGCTGAGGAGGGCCTGGCAGCCCTGTGAGCTCGAGTCCCCCGACCACAGCACTGGGCCCAGGCAGAGTCTGGACATGTGCCAGAGAGGCGGGGCTTGGAGGTCTGGGGAGGGCGTGGATGGGGAGCCAGCGCGGGCTGTGGGCATCACTTCTTGGCTCTTCAGGTGAACTCCTGCGTCTCCATGGTGGGTGCGCAGGCCCAGGGTGAGTTCCTGAGCATCCTGGGCTCTATGTGTGAGAAGCTCCGGGCCGTGCAGTACAACAGCAGCTACTTCGACAGAGGGGCGGAGGCCAGTGGGCGCCTCTGCACGGCGGAAGGCTGGTTCTCCTGCCAGGTGGGTTCCTGCCCCTCGTCCTGGGCCGCGCTGGTGGCCCGTGGGGATTGGTCTGTGGGGTCAGAGCCTCGAGAATGTGGGGCAGGGAGGCAGGGACTGGATGGTGGGAGCAAGAACAGGATGCTCTGGAGCTTCTGCATCAGCGGGTGGTGCCTCAGCTCGGGCTGGTCGCAGCTCGTGTGACCGTAGCTGTGGCTTCAGCAACAGCCAGTTAGGGTTCTGGGGACTGGAAGTTCAAGATCAGGGTGTCGGCAGACTCGGTGTCTGCTGAGGGGTCTCTTGCAGAAGGCATGTTCTGGCTGTGTGCTCACAAGGGGGAGACAGAGAGAAAGGGGGGCAGAGAGGGATGGGGAGGTGAGGGAGCAGGAGAGAGACAGAGGGACAGTGAGAGGGAGGGAGGGGAGAAAGAAAGGGAAAGAGAGTGAGAGGAAAGGAGAGGGAGAGAGGGGAGGAGGGTGAGGGAGCACGAGGGACAGAGAAAGGGGGTGAGTGAGAGCGGGGAGAGGGGAGGAGAGAAAGCTCGATGACAGGAGGGGGCGGGAGAGAGGGAGAGACAGAGGGAGGGGAAGCAAGCTTTCTCGTCTCTTCTCTGGGCACTGACCCCATTTGAGGCTCTGCCCTCCTGGCCTCATCTCCCAGAGGCCGCATCCCCTAACACTGGCACACTGGGGGCCGGGCTTTCAGCATGTGGATTCTGGAGGGACACAAACTTCGAGACCATAGCCCCAGGGCCTGAGAATCCACACTTCCGCCAAGTTCCCACCTGGGGAGAGAACTGCCCATCTGGGTAGGGAAGCCATCTTGCCTTGGCCTGGGCAGATTGAAGTGAGTGAGCAGGAGTGGTGCCCTGCACACGGGCAGGCTGACAGGGACAGTTCAGGGGCCTAGTGCCCCAGTCCGGCAGCAGGGGCCACAGCAGGTATGACCTCCGGGGCTTCTTACACCTGGGAAAGGCTCCTGCAGCTGCTGCTGGGCAAGTCTTGCCGGGGTGACAGTGCTCTGGCCATAAAAATTCTCCTTCCAAGTTCCCTTGACACTCAGGCTTTCTGACGGGCTGCTTGCAGGCACTCTCTAGAGCCTACTGTGGGCAGGAATGAGGGAGGGGCTGGAACATGATGGGGGGGTCTTTATCGCTGACTCTGGAAGTGGAGTGGAAGTGACAGTGGAAGGTGCAGCGGAGGCTGTGGGGCCTGCAGGGGACACAGCCAGTGTCCTGGGGTGCGGGGCCATCGGGAGGAACTCTGGGGAGGTGGGGGAGCTCTAAGCAGGTAGAACCGTGCAGGATGGGCCAGGAGGGACCAGGGGGCCCTGGCGTAGTGGTGGGGAGCAGTGGGCCCAGCTGAGGGATTGGGAGTCCATGGCATGATGGGAGCCCAGCCCACAGCTGTCTGTGGGGATGTGGGTGCACTGAGTGACCAGGTGTGCCATGGGCATTCAGCAAGGTGAGATTCCAGGGAAGTGTCGGGAAGCCGTGGGAGTGGGTGCAAAGGGAGTGTGGGCCTCAACAACCTTGAGGGTGGGACGCCAGTGTGTGAATAACGCGGAGGCCCCGTACCGAAAGCTGTCACTAGTGCCAGTGACAGTAACAGACTTGCCCCCTTTGGAAGCGCAGAACACAAAGTTAGGCGTAATGCAGGAAAAGAAAGAAGGTCCGATTCCTTCATCTCCCCGAAACAGGGCTGGGATCAGGGCTGACTCCCCCCGGGTGGCACTCTCCCCAGGTCGCCCTGCCAGCGTAGAAACCGTGCTAGAGACTCAGCCCAGCCTTCCCTCTCCTCCCCTGGCCCCAGGGTCCTTTCGACATGGACGCCTGCTCGTCGAAACACTCCATCAACCCCTATGGCAACAGGGAGAGCCGGATCCTCTTCAGCACCTGGAACTTGGATCACGTGTGAGTCTGCTCGCGGGGCCTTGCCGGGCTCAGTCCCTACTGTGGCTGCTGCCTTCGTTTCCCCTGCTCTGGGGGGCGGTGTGCGAGGGGCTGCTGGCTGGCACACTGTTCTCTCCACCATCTACACACAGGCCTGACCCTGAGCCCCCCTTTCCGGTTCGACCTGGGGATGGAGCTGGCAGGCAGCACACCCTCCAGAGCACGGGCCATCCTTGTCATCAGGGGTTGCGAACCTCTGTGTGCTTGATCGGGGCGAGCATGGGAGGTGGGAGCCTGGGTGTCATAGAGTGCAGACTCTCTTGGTGAACCCGGGAGCAAGTCTTGGCTGGCAGGATTGTTACAAGGTCTGTTCTACAAAAAGGACAGGCTGGAAAACCTTATTCTTCCCACCCAAGATGCTTTCCCCGAACTGGCTGTGGCCTTGCCCTTGCTGCATGAAGACAGAGGCCTTCAAACCCCTTCGTCTGCGTCACAGGTTGAGTGTCCCTCATCTGAAAATCTGAAATGTTCCAAAATCCAGAACTCTCTGGGTGCTGGCATCATGCTGAAAGGGGAAGCTCAGTGGAACATTCTGAATTTGGGATTTGGGTTGCTCAACCAGTAAGTTTAAAACAAATGCTCCAAAATCCAAAACACTTGTGGTCTTAACTATTTGGGATAAGGTATACTCAACCTGCATTACTTTCTGGAATCAGAATTTTTTAAAGTTTAGAAACATTGTAGTTATTGCTGTTTTTTTTTTTTTTTTTTTAGTTGGAGTCTCACTCTGTCGCCCAGACTGGATTCAGTGGCTGCTCCCGGCCACCACAGCCTTGTCCTGCTGGGCTCCGGCGATCCTTCTGCCTCAGCCTTCCAAGTAGCTGGAACTACAGGCACGCGCTACAGTGCCTGGCTAATTTTTGATTTATTGTAGAGATGAGGTCTCACCAACTTGCCCAGGTGGGTCTCGAACCCGCAGACTCAGGCAATCCACTCACATCAGTCTCCCAAAGCACGGGATTACAGTCTGAGCCATGGAGCCCGGCTGAATCTTTCTTTTTTTTGAGTCAGAGTTTCACTCTGTTGCCCAGGCTGGAGTGCAGTGGCATACTCATGGCCATCCCAGTGTCAACCTGCTGGACTCCGGTGGTCCTTCCACCTAAGCCTTCCAAGTAGCTGGAACTACAGGTGTATGCTACCATGCCTGGCTAATTTTTGGTTTATTGTAGAGACGAGGTCTTGCCAAGTTGCCCGGGCTGGTCTCGAACCTGTGGGCTCGGGCAATCCGCTCGCTTTGGCCTCCCAAAGTGCTGGGATTACAGACTGAGCCACGGAGCCTGGCCTGCTGTTGAATCTTTCATCCCTCTGTCCCCAACACCCTGCCTTGTCCCCAGGGGAAAGCGCCTTTCTGACATCCATGTGTCCTTCTGGCACCTGCAGCTCTAACTTGGCCATGTGCATGAGTTTCCTGCCTGTGTAAGAGATGTCCTGCTTTGTTGTCTGTGGCATGCTTTTTCAACTCCACACTGTGCTATGGTGACGCATTTGTAGACTTGCTGCATTTGTTTTAACAGGTGCAGAGCGCTTCACTTTTTGAATAGACTCTAATTTGAACATGTTTCCATTACTAGTCGGCATTTAGGCTATTTCTGACTTTTACCATTATAAAAAACCCTGAGATGAGCACTCACTTAGAACTTTTTGAATCCATATGGTCTGATTCTGTGCCATTTAGTGTGTGATCACTTTACAGCACCAGCGGCATCAGGGAAATGGTTAGGAATGCAGATTCTCAGGCCCCGTCCAGACATTCCAGGGATTGGGAATGTATTCTAGCATGGGGAGAGCCACCCCATATCTGACCATGAGTCTCACTGGAAGCGCAGGCCTTACCACACCCATCTTTTCCTTCTGAGGCTCGCTGGCTCTTCATCGTTCTGGCTCACACCCTTACCGTTTCGTGTGTGTTCATTCTCGTACCTTTTTGCAGTTTCCCACTCTGATAGGTGAGAAGCAGATGGTCTGGCTTTGATTTTTCTTCCCTTGACTGCGAGGAAGGCTCAGTGTCTCTGTATGTGTTCTCTGGCCATTTGGGTCTTCTGTGTTTTCTTCACTCACTTTTTGTTGTGGGTTTCAGTCTTTTTATTTATTTATAGGAATACTTTCCATATTTGAGATACTAATGCTTTGGTGATGATTGGTATTACAGATATCGGTGACAGTTTTGGGTTGTGTTTTACTTCTCTGATGTCTTTTATCACAATGTTTTAAATTCTGATGTACTCAGATACACCTTGCCCTCGTGTGTGTTAAAAAATTCTTTGCTGCCTTGTTTAGCATAAAGATGCTCTCTAATTTTTTTTTTTTTGAGTTGGAGTCTCACTCTATCCCAGACTGGAGTGCAGCGGCCGCTCCCGGCCACCACAGCCTGGACCTGCTGGGCTCCGGCGATCCTGCCGCCTCAGCCTTCCGAGTAGCCGGAATTACAGGCACGTGCTACCACACCCGGCTGATTTTTTGATTTATTGTAGAGATGAGGTCTCACTGCCCAGGCGGGTCTCGAACCTGCGGGCTCAGGCCATCCACTCACCTCAACCTCCCAAAGGTGCGGGATTACAGGCTGAGCCACCGAGCCCGGCTCTCTGATTTATTTTACCCAAGAGATTCCTCCCAGCATCCAAATGCTCTTGTATTCTTCATGACTTATTGGACGTGGGGGCAGCAGTCCAACAACAACAAAAAAGCAGGGCAGCCTAGAGAACACAGACGACAGCAGCAGAACACATAGCCTGAGGCAGAGTCCAGTTTCTTGACGAATTTTTTTAGTTCGATTTTTAGTTAGAGTTCCGTCTCCCTTCCTCTAAATACATATATTTACACACATTTATGTGTATTAGATGTTACTAAAATGTATTTTTTTACCACCAGTCATCAAAACGTTGGAGAAACACAGTCCAACCTCTGAGATTTGTGGGGCTCAAGCCACAGGCCACACGTCTGTTTAAGAGTTCGAAGCTAACAAGCTCAGAAATAAAATACATGCCGTCTGCCTACCTGGACTTATGGTCGTGGCCTGGGAGGCCAGGTGCCAGGTTCGAGAAGAATTTGCAGACTTCTTCGAGTTCTGGAACATAGCATCCACCCCCGGCCTGCGCCTTCTCTCTGCCCCCTTGGCGCCCCCTCACTCCTGGTGCCCTGCACATGGAAGCACCCAGCCTCTGAACACCCTCGCCGTCGGGCATGCCTCCTGGGTGTGGCCTGTCCCAGGAGGCTGTGCTGGGGAAGAGCTGGCGCAGCCGTGAGCAGTTCAGGGGCCTCTGGGCAGAAGGTTGCAGGCCCCAAGCCCGGGCGTGTGGTCTGGGCAGGGTCGGACTGGGGGTGTCTGCATGGGCTCTGGGTGGGCCTGGCTCCTTGACCAGAAGCACCTGCTTGAGGTGGGTGGGGCTTGGCCTGGGGAGGCCACAGTGGCAGGTCCTGGACAGTTCAGGACCCTCTTCAAGGTCTGAGGCGTGTCTGCACACTGGCGTCCCGTGTGTGGGATGTGTCCCACATCCGGCATGTCTTGTGTCTTAAGTGGTGAGCTCTCCCTCCAGGCTCTTCACAGCTGTCTTGGGCCATCTTGGGCCATTGCTTAACTTTGTTAATGCTTACTTTTATTTTTTTATTCCCACTATCTACTTGTTTGAGTTCCTTCTCACTTATTCCTTTGTCCGTACCTCCTTTGTGTTCTGACATACGTCTAAGGCTACAGATTTCTCCTAACGTGGCTTTCTAGGAGCTCTATGCTATGCCTACTTGAGTTCCATTATGATTTTATGTTTGATCCCTGCATTATTCAGAAGTCTCTTTAGTTTCCACATGGTTTTGTGTTTGTTTTCAATGTCTTGTTGTGCTCCTATCCCACTGTGGTCTGTTATCTGTAAATGGTCAGTGGCCGGAGATGTTCTGAGATTTACCCAGAATGTTTGTTGCCTCACGTTCCGCTTTGCCGGCCGTGCACTGCAGTCGGCTTTCTCTCGGTTGCTGTGGCCTGCTTCGCCCTTTCTTTTCGGCCTTCACGTGTCCATGAGTGGAACTGCCTTTGTTGTCAGCCAGTCAGAGACTGTTTTCAGCCCTAACCCTAACCCCAGCCCCAACCCTGACTCATCTGATCGGAACCTTTTTGACAGGCAGCTTGAGCCCACTGCATCTGTGGTGTCCCTGCTGTTTTCACTAGGCCGTGAACTCTGCGGGTCTCCTGTCACGGCTTCTTCTCAGCGTCTAGGATCGTGTCTGGCCACAGTGGCCCTTCAGCAAACACCTGTTGTTTTGTTGAGAGAATGATTTACTGCTTGGTTCCGGGTGTCCTAGTCACTGTGCCGTTTCTGTACACTTTGGTCTCCTTTGTGTTTTCTCTTAACTTACCCAAGTTTCTGTCTTTCCCTTGCCGTCACCTCTCCTCAGTGGTTTGGATGTTTAACACTCTTCATGGTGTCCCTAAACGTGAGTAGTTTGGGAGGTCAGTGCTGCCGGCCCCTCGCCCAGTCTGTCCTCCATGGCATTCTTCAGTGTCAGTGTCTGTCCCGCCGTATTGCACCCTGTACTTGATGCCGGTGTGTCTTTATGGTCAGTTCTTCCTAGTATCTACTCACTTCTCTGCTCACAGGCGTTTTCTGCCTTAGTTCTGGGCTCATTTCCCGTGTACTGATGTGCAGCCGTTTCTCAAGGGCCTGCAGGGGCATGTCTCTCAGTGTCGGAGAACGTCCACGCAGGGTCTACTCACTGTTGAGCTCATCCTGAATAAGAGATTGACAAGCATCTCCCTTCAGCACTTGGAAGCATAACCCCATTGTCTTCTGGAGCCTGTTCCTGAGAAGTCTGATGTTGTGTTATCTCCTGCCTTTTGAACGGTTGTTTCTCTTTTTCTCTTCGAAAATGATCTGTGTCTAGGCATCACTCTTATTCTGACCGGGAGTGGTCGTCTCTGTTTTTAACGTGACTTTTCTTGAGTTTTGGGAACTTCTCAATCGTATCCTGGGTGTTGCTTCTCCCTGTGCGGGTCTCCTGGAACTCCATGAGCCAGCGATATACCTGCCCGTTCTGCCCCTGCGTGTTTCTGCCCTTGCATATTTCAACTCTGTGCTGCTGTGTTACGGGTGACTTCCTGCTGTGCACCAAGTTGCGTCCCCCAAATTCATATGTTGACACCTTCATCCCCAGTGTGATGGCATCTGGTGACAGGGTCTTTGGGAGCTGATCAAGGTTAAATGAGGTCATGAGGATGAGGCCTTAATCCAGTGAGACTGGTGTCCTTTTAAAATGGGAAGAGAAGCCAGGCACGGTGGCTCACACCTGTAAATTCCAGCACTTTGCGAGGCTGAGGTGAGAGGATTACTTGAGCCAAGGAGCTTGAGACCAGCCTGGGCAACATAGCGAGACCTTGTCTCTACAAACAAGATAAAAAGAAAAATTAGGGTTTGGTGGTGTATACCTGTAATCCATCTACTTAGGAGGCTGAGGTGGAAGGATTGCCTGAGCCCAGGAAGCTGAGGCTGTGGTGAGCCTTGATAATGCCACTGCACTCCAGCCTGGGTGACAGAGTGAGATCTTGCCTCTAAAATAAAATAAAAAATAATAAAATGTAATAGAATAGGAAGAGAACTCAGTTGCTATTTCAGCCCACCATGTGAAGACACAGCGAGAAGACGGTTGTCCACAAGCTGGGAGGGAGCCCTCCCCAGAACCCGGGTCTGAGACTTCTAGCCTCCAGGCCTGTCTTCTCCAGATAAAACACATGTCTGCTGTCCAAGCCCCCCAGCCCAAGGCATTCTGTACTGGTGGCCGAGCTGATAGAGGCACTGCCATGCCTCACCAAGTCCTTCAGCACCAGTGTGTTCATCCTGTCCAATGAGTAGAGTCCCTTTTCAGAGCAGTTCTTTTTAAAATGAGCTTCTTTTGTACCAGTCTTTCAACACTTCTATTTCTTTTTAATCATTTTAAAAATAGTTGTATGGTAAAGAATTTGACCTTACCAAGAGAGGCCTGGATTTGCCCTTGACGCCTGGGGGTGTCTCTAAGTCTTGAAATGTCCTGCCTGACAGGAGTGTCATTGTTTACTTGGGGTCTTGGGTCCCCGAATAGTCTAACAATGTGATTTAGGGTGGGGGCTCCGCCACATACTATCAGCTTGGCCTCAGGGGCTGGAGACTTGGGCAGTCAGCCACAGCTGTGTGAAAGGGCCTGTGAAGCTCCCTGGCTGGCAGTGCTGTGTGATGTCACACGCACTGCTGGGAGGAGGTAGTGCCGGCCTGACTCCACAGGGAGGGGACAGCCAGAAGCTATGACCAGAGCTTCCTGGACTCTGCCCTGGGTGCTTCTTAGCTTGGCTGGTTTTAATTGGTAGCCTCCAGCTGTAATAAATGTAACCACCAGCAGAACAACTCTCGGTGGGGCCTGCGGGTCCCTTGGGCAGATTATCTACTCTGAGGCAGTCAGGAACCCCCACGCCCTGGTGTCGGAATTCAGGGCTCTTGGGACTGCTCCCAATCCTCATGGGTCTCGCAGGTTGTTAGGACGCAGGCAGCTCTCATGCCAGTGATGCTGTCCACTGCACCTTTCCTGCCCCTCACAGCCCTGCTGCCCTGCTGCATGTTTGTCTGGGTTCCGAGTCCATCTTTCGTGGGGATGGTTTCCTGTGGACACCTTTGTGCAGGTGGTTGGAATGTCCCTACAGATGCCCAGGCTTTCCAGTGGTCCTGAAACAGCAATCTGTCACTTCTCACCATGGTCCTGTGCCCGGTGTCCTGGGCTGTATGCCTTGCATTCCACGGATGACAGTGCGAGGGGGTGTCACGAGTCAAGACACCATGCTCCCGGCATCCACACCCTTGCACGTGCCCCGCCCCTTCCCCCACATGGCAGAGAGGCCTGGGAAGGGCTGCATGTTGTAGCTTGTCTGCTGTGAATGCTGCTGTCACCACATGATGGAGCCTGACCACTGCCCCCCCCAGGATAGAAGACCCCAGGGGAGAAGGGCCCCAGCCTGCCAGCCACCAGTGGCTGCAGCCCCACGAGTGCGCCAGGCAGCACCAGCAGAAGACCCACCAGGCCAGCCCACAGAAACCACCGAGCCTGTGGTGGCTGGTTCTGCATTGATAGATAACTGACTGATAGCGTGGGCTTTTTCCTTCCTCCTGCCCAAAGCCCTGGACTCGGCTCAGGCTTTTCTGTCCACATTTAACAACTGGGGCGAGGGTCTCAATCCCACCTCCCCTGCCCCTTGGGGTCCTCTGGACCTGTGTCAAGGGCTGGAACCTGGGTGAGCCTGGAGCATGGCTTTCCCTGGGGCATCCAGCATTAATTTTTCTTTATCTCTGATAGCTGGGAGCTCTCTTCTTTCTTTTGATCTCAACGATGTTTTTAAAAAGGTAACTTTCGATCTGCATTTCTTTGGGTTGCCGGGAGAGAGAGCTGTTTGGCCCACCAGCTGCCACTGGCCCTCCTGGCCATGGTAGCTCCAGTCTCCCCTTGCCAGTCTGCAGTTTCCTACACTGGCGACTGCATGGGCTTCTCAATGGTTTCTTTGTAGGGGAAACAGATTTACACAGAGCAGTGTCACATAGTTTAAAAACACACACACATGCATGCCACAGTCTAAGATTAGGACTAGGGAGAGAAATATCGAACCCTGAATAGTGACTTTAGCTTCGTTTGCAAGGTTCTGTTTTCAACATTTTCATGAATTATCATGTAATGCTTAAATCTATACGCAGATCAAATGTGGACGCAAAGAGCCAGCGTTGGTGGGGGCAGTGTCAGTGATGGAGCCCGGCTGACCTTCATCTCTGTACTTTTCAGTATTTTGAACTGGGACCACAAATCGGGTTTGAAAAGCAAGACAGGTTGCTTGCATCAGGCTCCGCCAGACAGACCAGACCGGGCCTGTGGGTGTGGCCATGCTCAGTGAGACACTGAGGACGAGTTTGTAAAGAGCTGTGACGGAAGTGTGCTGTGGCGACCTGTTGCTTGATGCATAACAGAAAATGATGCCTCTAACTTTGCTTTGCAGAATAGAAAAGAAACGCACCATCGTTCCCACGCTGGCGGAAGCAATTAAGGAACAAGATGGCAGAGAAATTGACTGGGAGTATTTTTACGACCTGCTTTTTACCTCAGAGAATCTGAAACTGGTGCACATTGCCTGCCACAAGAAAACCACCCACAGGCTCAGCTGTGACCCGAGCAGGATATATAAGCCCCTGGCAGGGCAGAAGAGGAAGCGACCGGCTCGAAAATGCCGGTGACGTCGGTGACACGTGTTGCACTCTGGCCCATGAGAGTTCTGCGCAGGCATCCTATTAATGGGCGCTGTTCTTCTTCACTTGGACCCATCAGTAGTTCCTGGAAAAAATCTTAAAAAAGAAAACACCTCCTGTAAGACTGCTTTCAGTGTTTTTGAATCTGTTTTTTATACCTTATGACAGCCCAACCTCCAGAGGACAGCTTCAGGGCACTCACTGGACATCTGGGGACTCCTGGTCACATGGTTAGCAAGGATAGGGCATTGTCCTTGAACTCAGGAATTCAGTTCTCTGGTTTTGCCAGGGCCCTGCATGCTCACGTAACATGGTCTCCATCTAAAACATGTCATGGCCGAACCTGGCCACTCCTGCCTGAGGGAGAGGTCGTGTAGACACCAACTCTGCATGGGGTCTCCATGTCCACGGCAGGTGGACAGAATCCCCTCCAGACTGACTCTTCTGAATGCCCAGAAGGGAGTGTGACACCCTGGACATCAAGTGTCTGGACTCCATAGAGAACATGCAAGCACATTCACTGCTGAAATGTTTGTCATGGCAAAAACAGGCAACCTTCCATTGGCTACCTGCTGGATAGTAGCTGACGGTGGCATTACGTCAGACTACAGGAAGTCACTGGTTTCCATTACACAAATGGTCAGAGAGCATTACTTTCATTATTCAATCAAACACATCTACAGAATGCAAAACTGTAGCAGTTTCCAGCATTCATGAGTGTTGATGGGACTTTGTGGAGTGCCCAGGTGGCTTATCTGCGCAGCATGTGAACGTGTGTTACAAAGGCTGGTGTTCACACCACCCACGAGTCACATGGGTAGGGGCAGTCTGGAGGGAAACACCACACCCAGCTGTGACAGCAGTAATGCTGGGGAATGTGACGGGGCTGGGACTGGGTTGGAGGACTGATTTCTAAATCATGTATTTTATGATACTTGAATTTTTTGAAATGAGCATTTATTTCATAACATTTTAAAATGTACTTTTAAAAGACATGCATTTTGTAATACTTGATTTTTTTACATTGATTTTATAATCAGGAAAAGCAATAAAGATTTTTCAGAAATACTCATGGCAAAAAAGTTTATACTCATTGAGAATGATAAAATGAAGATAAAAATAAGCAGTTCAGGCTGGGCATGGTGGCTCACGCCTTAATTCTACCACTTTGAGAGGCCAAGGTGAGAGGACTGCCTGAGCCCTTGGGTTCGAGACCAGCCCGGACAACTTGGCGAGACCTCATCTCTATAATAAATCAAGAAAAATTAGCCGGGTGTGATGGTGCATGCCTGTGGTTCCAGCTACTTGGAAGGCTGAGGTGGAAGGATTGCCTGAGCCCAGCAGGTTGAGGCTGCAGTTGCTGTGAGTATGCCACTGCACTCTAGCCTGGGCAACAGAGTGAGACTCCGACTCAAAAAAAAAATAAAAAAGCTGTCCACGATGTTTTAAAGAGTGACCTAGCTTATTCCATTTTCTTCACAGAATGACAGCAATGGCTCAGAATGAGCCAGTTCCATGTGGGGAGTTTCTAGAAGTTCCATCCACATGCATGGTCATTTACCTTACAAACAGTGGTAGAACTGGGGCCCGGGAGCCTCTTCTCAGACCCTTCTCGCACAGCTTGGAGAACTCTCTGGAACCCCAGATCCCCCTGTGTAACGCAGAGGTGGCCAGGCAGCCGCCAAGGCCCTTCCAGCCCTTCTAACTCAGAGTCCTGAAATGAGCTGTTCCTTTTTCCAGTCATGGGCAGGCTCCCCTTTTCAGTGCATCTCTTTGTTACTGAGATGCAGTCTTGATGGCAGTCCTTCCTTCTCAAGCAGTTTGAGTGACACGCTGCTGTGTCCTGTGTGGCTGGGTGGTAAAGGATCCTGAAAGAGGAAGGGTGCGGTATAACACAATTCACGAGACACTTTTAGAACCAGAAGGTGGGGGAACCAGGGGACACTTTGCCTCACAGGACAAAGGCCCCGAGTTTCCTACCCATCAGACTTTTATTCGTACAAAATGATGTAGTTAAGAAAGCCTTCAAGGACAAAGTACAGACAGTGCAAAGAAAACTTCGTTTTGATCTTAGAAAGCTTTTGTGATAAAGCGTGACTGTTTACAAAACATAGTGCAGCTGCTTACAAGACAATGTATAACTAACGTAAGACACTGCACTTTTAGAACTTGCCTGAGCACATGTGACCATCTGACTTTACCATTATAGGCATTTTTGTGACTTTGCAGGTACGCCAAGTATGTTTTCAGCCAAGTTCAAGGAGGGCAGTGGGCTCCAACAACCAGCCACCTTGGCCTAGACACACAGGGCTACTGTCCTTCCACTACATGGCTCTGGGGTGTGGCCCACAACTGGGCTGAGGTTCTGTGTCCCTGAGGACTTCTGTCACCTCCTCACTGTTGTGACAACGCATCCCGTGCTCCTCTTTATCTTCCTGACCTGAGGCTGCATCTCTGCAGCAAGTGAGACACCAGAACCCACGCTTGTCCGTCACAAAGACTGAGCTTTGAGCAAGGGCCCTAAGGCTCTCTGAGCGGGGATGAGTTGCTTCCGGGCCCTCAGGCGAGGAGGCCATGATGGTCACAGAGCAGAGGTGTCATCAGTCACAAGTTCTGTCACCCAGAACCTCAGGCTCCCAGGGAGAGTAGCCATTTACTTTCTGTCCATTTGCAGCAAAGGGGGAAGAAGAGGAGCCATGTGATCTGTGGGCGTGAGGGTCACCTGCTGCTGGAACGTCCTAGCATCGGTAGCATGCGTCCAAGGAAGAGCCCACCAGGTGGGCCTGCAGAGGCCATGCCCATGCCAGGCTCCCTCCAGACCACAAGGCTGCAGGGGCACGACCACACGATCGACCCTCCTGCTGTGAGGACGATGCATGCCAGACAGGGCCTGTCTGCTGATGATGGGGCTATGACTGAGTCAGCTGGGTAGGGACACGGGGTGAGTGGCAGACGCAGAGGAGGCTCTTTGAGGAGCCAACATGAGAGCCATGCAGAGCTGAGAACCAGGTGAGGCATGTGAGCATCTTGGGGAGAGGCCACTGTGGCTGGAGAGTGGTGCACAAGGGGAGGGGCCCAGGGAGGAGGAAGCTGGGCACACTGCGAGCTTGGCCAAGCAGAGTGGCTGCTCCGGGCACCTGGGGGCACCACACCCGGTTCCAGAGCACCGCAGAAAAGCAAGTGTTGAAGTGAGGCCTGCATACTTTTTGGCATCCCAGTGTGAGTGAAAGTTATGTTTCTACCCCACTTTTGTCTATTAAATGTGCAACAGCATTATGTGTAGAAAATAATGTATATACCTTCATCATAAGATACTTTACTGCTAAAAAATGCTAAGGATCATCTGCGCTTTCAGTAAATCCTAAGCTCTTTGCTGGTGGAGGGTCTTGCCTCGATGCTGATAGCCACTGACTGATCACCATGGTGGTAGTTGGAGGCAGGGGTGGCTGTGGCAATTAAAAGAAAAATCTGCCCCAGTGCTCATCACACCTCCTTCATGCCAACGCTCCCGTATTTTTAAAAGTTTTACATTGCTGTATATTCAAGTTATTTGTTTTATTAATATGCAATAAAGGCTTGGAAAGTAACAAAAAGTAAATAAGACAACAAAGTTTGCCACATTGAAGGACTCTCCCTTCATGAAAGAACTCTCTGTAGCATCTGAAGCTGTTTGGTAGCATTTCACCCACAGGAGAGCTTTCTTTCAAAAATGGAGGCAGTCCTCTCAAGCCCTGCTGCTGCGTTGTCAGCTAAGTTTATGGAGTACTCCAAGTCCTTTGTTGTCATTTCAACAAGGCTCCCAGCATCTTCACCAGGACTAGATTCCATCTCAAGATACCTTTCTTTGCCCATCCTTAGGAAGCAGCTCCTCATCCAAGTTTGATCATGAGATTGCAGCAAGTCCCATCTTCAGGCTCCACTTCCAACTCTGGTTCTCTTGCTATTTCCCCCACATCTGCAGTGACTTCCTCCAGTGAAGTCTTGAACCCTCAAAGTCATCTTATGAGGGTTGGAATCAACTTCTTCCAAACACCTGTTAATGTCATGTTGGCTTTCTCCCATAAGTCGTTTTTGTTATTTCCAGAGTTTATTAGCCAGAAGAAAAGAAGGAAAAGGGCAGATATAGGAGAAAGACTTGCTGTGGCAAGTTTCTTGGAAAAGAAAAACCACCCATGAATGTTCTTAATGGCATCTAAAATGGTGACTCCTTTGTAGAAGGTTTTCAATTTACTTTGTCCAGATCCATCAGAGGATTGCTATCTATGGCAGCTACAGCCATCGCTATATATGAAGTGTGTTTCATAAGACTTGATAATCCAAATTACGCTTTGATCCAAGGGCTTCAGAATGGATGTTGTGTTTGCAGACATGAAAACATTAATTTCCTGTACATGCCCAGAGCTCTGGGGTGACTAGGCGTGTTGTCAATGAGCAATAGTATTTTGAAAGGAAGCTTTTTTTCTGAACAGCAGCTCTCAGTAGTGGGCTTAAAATATTCAGTAAGCCTTGCTGTAAACAGATGTACTGTCATCTAGGCTTTGCTGTTCCATTTCTAGAGCACAGAGTTAGTGTAACTCTTAGGACCCACAGGATTTTCAGAATGAGAAGGAAGTACTGGCCTCAACTTCAAGTCACCAACTATACACCACAAGAGAGCCAGCCTGTCCTTTGAAGCCAGGTATTGACTTCTCCTCTAGCTATGAAAGTCCTAGATGGCATCTTCTTCCAATGGAAAGATGTTCTATGTTGAAAATCTGTTGTTAGTGTGTCCACCTTCATTAGTGACCTCAGCTGGATCTTCTGGAGCACTTGCTGCCTCACTTTTTGTGTTCTGGAGACAGCTTCTTTCCTTCAACCTCGTGACTCGACCTCTGCTGGCTTCAGGTTTTCCTGCTGCCTTTTCCTTGCCTCTCAGCTTTCACAGAATCGAAAAGAGCTGGAGGAGGGGGGGCATTGCTCTGGATTGGGTTTTGGCTTAAGAGAATGTTGTAGTCTAAAATGTACTCCATACCAACAATACGGCTGTTTTGTTTTCTCTTTGTTGTGTGTTCCCTGGAGTAGCATTTTAACTTATTTCAAGAACTTTTCCTTTGCTGTTACGGTACAAGAGGCCTAGATTTTGGCCTGTCTCGACTTTTGACATGTCTTCTTAAGTGTAACCATTTCTAGCTTTTGATTTAAAGTGAGAGATGCGAGACTTCCTTCATCTGAACACTTAAGATGCCACTGTATGGCTACTAATTGGCCTGATTTCAATATTGTTGTGTCTGAAGGAACAGGGAGGCTCAAGGAGAGGGACAATGATGGGGATTGTCCAGTTAGTGGAGCAGTCAGGACACATGACATTTACCAGTAAGTTCACGTCTTCTGTGGGCATGATTTATGGCACCCCCAAAACAAATGCTAACACCACAGACCACCATAACAGATCTAATGATGGTTTGAAATACTGCGAGAATTACCAGTATGTGACACAGGGACGCGAAGTGAGCACCTGTGGTTGGAAAAGTGGTACCAATAAGACTTGCTTGCCACAGTCTTGCCACAAGCCTTCACCTCCTAAAAAATGAAGTGTTTGGGAAGTGTAACAACACTCAGCGCAGTAAAACGAGGAGTGCTGGGGGAAGCCATGAGGGGATCTGGGGAGGGGCCTGACTCCTGCTGGGGCAATGCAGAGCCCCTGGAACGCCCTGCCTGGGTGTGCTCTTGTCTGCCCAAGGTCCTGGCTCCCATGGCCTCAGCTAGACCTGGGCAGGGGGGGAAGGGCTGGAGTGTGAGCAGCTCAAGTACTCCCTGGGTGCCCCATGCCTATGTGACTGTCCCCAGTAACACCTGGGACACCAAGGCTTGCCTGAGCTTTGGTTGGTACCCTTCTGCTCTAACCAGCTGTTTCTGAGTCCTGTGATTTCTTCTACTGAATCCGAGCCTGAGTCTGGTCTTAGGGCCCCAGCACAGTGTGCACAAGGGGTAGGAAAATGCAACTGATAGAGCTGTCAGTTTTGCAGGAAACTGTCTCAAGCAAGCAGTTACTTACAGGACGAATCTGCTAATATTCTCTTATATGCTTGGGCTCTGGTATATGATTTTACAATATCAGCAACTGTTTCTAGAAACTCAGTATTTGTAACAATCTGGCCTCCTACAGGAGACTGGGGCCAGGCCCCACTCAGACCACCTAGGCAGAGTGTATCACGGGTGCCACCACTAGAGTCATTTAATAGGCTTCCTGCACTTTCTTGATGTTGCCAGCCCTGAAGCCACCCTGAGCGGCCCACTGTGTGCTTTTGTATCCTCGGTCCCTGTGCTCCTTCACTGCCTGTCCCCAATTGCTCCACAAGGCTCTCAAGGCCACCCCATCTCAGCCCTGCCTGTGCCTTCTTTACACGGGACACCTGTGCTTTCTTCTAACACTTCACTCGCATTTGACAGTGACTTGGGGGATTTATATCTGCCACCTGTCTCCTTCTTTGAGTTGGAGTCTCACTCTGTCCCCCAGACTGGAGTGCAGTGGCCGCTTCCGGCCACTGCAGCCTCGACCTGCTGGGCTCCGGCGATCCTTCCGTCTCAGCCTTCCAAGTAGCTGGAACTACAGGCGCGCGCTACCACACCCGGCTAATGCTTTGATTGATTGTAGAGATGAGGTCTCGCCAAGTTGCCCAGGCAGGTCTCGAACCCGCGGGCTCAGGCAATCCACTCACCTCAGCCTCCCAAGGCGTGGGATTACAGGCTGAGCCACCAAGCCTGGCTACCTGTCTCCTTTACACAGGACACCCGTGCCTTCTTGTAACACTTCACTCTTTGACAGTGACCTTTAGGGATCTACACCTGCCATGTTCGCCACCTTCTCAGGCCCTAGGAGACTCCACGTGGAGATTTCGACACTTTAGGAAGACTCTTCAAATTGCCCCACAAAGTGATACACCGTCTACCTCCCGGGGCTGCTGACTGTCGGGAGAGGAGGCTGGCCTCACTTTCAGTTGTGCTGCCAGTTAGAAAGTGAAGGCTGGTGTCCACGGGGCCTGCAAAGGTGGTTTTCACAGTCTGGCAGACAGGAGGGCATTTCCCCTCGGGAATGCTTGTCAGTGCAGTTTCGGAAGTGCTGTGAGCAGGGGTGGCCCCAGCTCGTGCCTGTGTTCCAGTCTTCACGCCCTGGAAGTGCGCTCGGGCATCTCTTCCTCAGGCAATGACGACTTGGCGCGGGGCGCAGTACCAAACCTCACAGGAATGGCAGAACTCCCACATCAGGCAGGTGCTGTTGTGAACAGTCAAGCTGCAGTCTCAGGTTGTAGATTATCTTCCCTGGTTATCATTAAATGACTTTACAAGCAACATTTTCAAATTATAGTTATTGATCCATAAATCACACAATTATTAAGAGCAGGTGAAGGTCACGGCCAATGGGAAAGGACCACATAATGGCAGAGACTGACTGCTGGGAGGCGACTCTCAGAGCAGGCAGCCAGTGCACAGAGGGCTGAGACGTCTCTTACAGGGATTTCCACTATGTTCTGCTCCACTCACCTGCTGTGTCAAATGCTGCCTGCGCTTCCTGGGGCATCTTCACAGGGTTAAGTCTCGCTGCTGGTACAGCTAACCAGAAATATACAATGGCTGAAAAACAGGAAGACTCTCCTGCTTATGTGTGAAGGGTATCATGTGGTCTTCTGTACCACAGGCAGCTTCTCCTTATCCTCAGTCGCCTGGGGACCCAGGCTCCCTCCTGGTTGCTCCATTCGGTCTCTGTGAGCAGCTGGTGGCAGGAAGAGGCTGTGGAAGATGCACCCCCAAATGGCTCCTCCCCACCCCCCTTGGCGACATGGCACGAGGAGCTCCTTGCTGTAGGGGGAGCTGGGGAGCACGGTCCCCTGTGGGGCAGCTGCACCGTGGACACTTCACGGCCAAGGCTCGCACCGGCCCTCTCCACCACAGGACCAGGAAGCTCAACACTTCACAGCAAGGACAAAGGACAGAGGATGCGCACGAGAGGACAGGGCCACGTGGCTTCCCATCCAGGGCCCTGTACTAAGGGGCTTCTCTGGCTAGTGGGTCTAACAGGCGGGTCCAACCTTATGAGTGTCAGAGTGTATAAGACCGAGGACAACATTCATTTCCTCCACTTGACTCTCAAACACTTAGAAAGGAATCCAGTTTTAGGAACATAAACCTCCCTGACAGCTTGTTTGGACATTCTAAAAGGGATGCAGCTACTCTTATACCCTTTTATCTTTGAGCTAGAGTCTCACTCTGTTACCCAGGCTGGAGGGCAGTGGCATGCTCCTGGCCACAGCAGCCTCGACATGCAGGGCTCTCAAGTGATCCTTCTGCCTGACCCTTCCAAGTAGCTGGATCTACAGGCACGCACCACCATGCCCAGATAATTTTTTTATTTATTGTAGAGATGAGGTCTTGCTAAGTTGCCCAGGCTGGTCTCAAACCTGTGGGCTCAGGCAATCCTCTCACCTCGGCCTCACAAAGTGCTGGGATTATAGGCGTGAGCCACTGTGCCTGGCTTGTATGCCCTTGACCAAAGAACAGGTCCTCCTCTGGCAGGGATGGTTGCCCTCTTCGACTGAGCATGCAGCTGTGGGAGGAACGTGTGTGGAGTGGTGAGGGAGGAGGGGGACACCTGCCTAGCCAGCCAGATCAGCCAAATCAACCCTGGCGCTCAACGGCGTGCGATGGCCCAGCCAGATTATCCTCACGCCTTGAAACATAAAACTTCCTTAAAAACATTTTCAAAATATATTTTATTTCTCTCCCATAGCTATTTTGCAATATTTCCAAGGTAAACATAAGCTTCATATACAGAAACAAAGGCAAGTTCTTTAAGAACCGGCACTGAGTGGGTAAAAAGGATGATCGCACGTAGAGAGTGGAAGGCAAGCCTGCATGCCAGCAAAGCAGGTGAGCTGAAGTGCAGAGCTGCCGCCATGAAGCTCTCGACCGCAGCCTGCGCACTCTCAAGGCATCGTCAATGTACGTCACATACATAGACAGAAGACATTGGCACAGGATGGCACTCTGCCACCTCCCGGCTGCTCAGGTCACGCGAGCACGCCTTCCACAGGCATCTGGCGCTTCTCTAGGGACTCCTAGGATCAGTTCTCAAGTCGGCGTAAGAACACATCCTCTTGGAGATATATTTCATATAAATCTTGAGATGTGCTTAATTGTCAAATTGTTAACTGCACTAATTATGAGCAGAAGTCACCTTGTAGATTCACTACATCTCTGCGTCATCATCATCGTCGTCGTCGTCCTCTTTGGCTCTGAAATGCATTTTTCTGAATTCGCGCCTGCTCATCGAAGGGCAAGACGAAGATGCTGGTGGCAGGTCCTTAGAGGAGAAGAGAACACGGACTTAGTTGTGAGCGACACACATTTGCACCTGCATCCGAAACTCACCCTGGCCATCAGCTCTGGGTCTCACGGGACGTTCCTCCCTTCTACACACGTGGAAATGACCGAGTCCTAGCTCTCGACCCAAGACAAGACCATTGGCTGATCAAGTAAAGAGGAGGAGGAGAGACACTGGGTTTGAAACACGAGAAAGCAACACCGAATGTGGGGTAGGCTAATTCGAGAAACCACAAATCTGACTTCGCGGAAACACACCTGGGCTGCGGGAGCCCCTCTGCCGCAGCCTTCTGATGGCAATGACGCTCAGCTTGGGAGGCACGGAGGGAGGGCCCTGTTGCCAACGTTTTTTCCTTTTGGGTTGAAATGATACATTTATATTTAATTTTGTGTCAAGGAATTATGTACATGCGGTAAATTAAGAGCACACAGCTTGAGGGCGCAGTTTGCTGCTGAGGCCCCGTGAGAAAGAAGGTGCCACTATTACCTGCATGAGCTCGACATTCCCAAAGAACCGGCTCACGGGCATTGGCTGATTGCTGTCATCGTCCAGAAAGACGCTGTTGTCCATCTGGAGGGGCAGGGCCTGCACTCCCTCTGCGTCTCGTGCCAACTTGTCCTGCCTGGTGGAGCTGCCGTTAGAGTCTTCTGCTCCTGAACCAGCCCCGCATGTCGGCATGGACAGGCCGTCTTCAGTCTTTGCTAAGCAACCGTCACTCATGACTCTGCGGCAACCAAGGGGAAGAGCCGTGGTCTCCCGTGACACAGAAACGCCCGCCCCACTGCCCGGAGGCGAGGCACCATCTTCAGCAAACTCATTTTCACAGGGGGTCTCCGGGGTGACTTTTGGCAAAGAAGCATTATCACTTTTAGGGACCAGTTTCTGTAATTCTGACTTCACAAGATTTCCCTTGTCACACTTGAACTTCTTGGAGGTTCGCCTGTCTGTGGCTTTGTGTGATGAGGAAGTCTGTCAAGAAAGAAAAATATACAGGAAAGCAAACACACGTAGCACCCGAAGCACGCCTCTGTCCCAAAGGCAGGGCTCCTTCCCACATCTGCAATGATGACATGCTGCAACCTCAGTCTCAACAGATCATCAGTTCACTGTTCTGCCACCATGGGACAGAATCCCAAGGGCCGCTGGAAGTGAACCCAGGCTGACACCCCACAGCACACCCAGGTTGTTGGCTCTCCCTGGGGGTATGATATTTCCCAAGGCAAACTCAGAAGCTCATCACAAATAAATTATAACAGAAGAATCCAGTTTTCACTCATTCCTGCTAGAATGTGTGCTCCATGAAGGCAGGGATCTTCGCTTTACCCACCAAATAGTACCAGGCACACAGTAGGCGCTTAGTGGATATTTGTCAAATTGACTTCAACAAAACTGTAACAAGCACCTCAAAACAAGTGAAACCCTGTGCTGCAGGTGGTGGCCAAGTCGCAGCCCCTAAGCCGTGGGCTGAGTGATGTGGATCTACTTTTCGAGTGAGTTCAGGGACCAAAATTCCTCGGAAGTGACAGTGGCGCCATGTTGAATGGCAGACTCTACGGGATCCCCTTTCTTGGCCCACGACACTATCTTCAAGCCTTAGGGGTGAGGAAGGATGTTAACATCCCAACACCTCGTGACTTTTAAGCAGAATGAACAGCACAAGCGTATCTTAGAGTCGGGGTCTCTCGACATGCACTGGGCAGATGCTAGGGAAGCAGCCCTGGGCTGAGGGCAAACCCTCCTCTGAAAGCAGTGACAGCCTGTCAGCTTTCACGCGCAACCGTCTCCTCTGGTATGTCAGCACCACTGGACACTTTTCTAATGCAGCATATCTTGGGAGTGACAATTTTAGATAAAAATAGACCCTCAAGGCAGGATCTTGGCATTTTCCATGGTAACTAGACTCACCAGACATGCTGTCTTGGCAGATGTGGAGCCAGCGATGTCCTGGGAAGAGGCCACACTGGCTGCCACACGACTCCGGGCTCGCAGGCGCGCTGAAGACCGCACTCCCCCTGTGAGCTGGACCAGATCGAGAGGCTCGCTTAGAAAATGCTCTTGTGAACGAGGTATGAACATGCAGACCAATATTTCCCATCTAAAGACAGCCTGAAGACAATCCCTCCCAGCACCCGCCCCATTTTTATCATCATTATGGAAAGACACCTGTGGCCTGAATGTGAAAGTTAAAAATCTCTGCCTGGATTTAACACACAGGATCGACACATCTCAGAGGCCTAGGACAGTCTGTCCCCCTTATCTTGTATGTTTCTGGGAACCACCATTTGTAAATTAACTCACACTAATTCAACTTCAAAGTGTCCAGAATAAGCAGCACATACCCTTCCTTAGAAGGTTCTCAAACTTTTACATGGTATCAAAGTTTCTGATAAAATGTTATATAAAAAAAAAGGCCAATCCCCATCCTCATATCTCTCTCCCTTATAGTCCTAATTCTATTAGTATAAAGCAGTTGGCTTCTGTCTTATCAATCTTAATATTAACAAAAATTGGTCCACATCTATTATATCTGGAATGTAAAACAAAGTTTTCTAATAACAAGAAAGAAATTCAAGACATAAAATTTAAAGTAACTTTAGAAATAATTTAGGCAGCACAAGTTGGCACCAGACGCGGAGGGAGTGCAGACACCGCCTGTCTAGATGGACAACAGCGTCCTTCTAGACGATGACAGCCATCAGCCAATGCCCGTGAGCCGCTTCTTTGGGACTGTTGAGCTCATGCAAGTCAGAGTGGGGTCCTCACGGGGCCTCAGCAGAAAACTGCACCCTCAAGCTCTGTGCTCCCTATTTACTTGTGTCTGCCTTCCCTTAATATTTTTCTTTCTCGACAGACTTCCTCATCACACAAAATCACAGACAGGCAAAACTCCAAGAAGTTCAAGTGCGACAGGGAAATCTTGTGAAGTTAGAATTACAGAAACTTGTTCCTAAAAGTGATAACACTTCTTTGCCAAACATCACCCCTGAGATCCCCTATAATAATTCTGCTTGGTGCCTGAACAGAAAAGTGGCAAAAATAGTACAGAAAAGTGGCAAAAATAGTACAGAAAAGCTGGGCTTAGTGGTGTGAGCCTGTAATCCCAGCTACTTGGAAGGCTGAGCTGGGAGGATCGCGCGAGCCCAGGAGGTCAAGGCTGCCATGGGCTGCGCTCACACCATTGCGCTCCAGCCTGGGCAACATGGTGAAACTCTATCTCTAAACACCATTATTGTACTTGAAAAATAATATATGAGCTGGGCTCGGTGGCTCAGCCTGTAATCCCGCGCCTTGGGAGGCTGAGGTGAGTGGACTGCCTGAGCCCGTGGGTTCGAGACGCGCCTGGGCAACTTGG